CTGCAAGGCAGTGCAGGAGGTGAGTTTAGTTAAGAGTCCAATGGTGGGTTGCCTGAAGGTATGGGGAGCTGTTGGGTGATAGTGGGGGGTGTCTAAAATTGCAGGAGGGGGGCTGGCTGACATTGAAGGATGGGGGAGTTGGGTGATAACGGAGGAGCTGGCTGACATTGCAAGGGGGCAGATGGTTGAGTTTGGGGAGTGGGGGGTGACTGGTTGATATTGCAGGAGGAAGAGATGAGTTATAGCGGAGGAGCTGGGATTAAGGGGAGGGAGTAGGGTACACTAAGCAGCAGCTACAGAGAAGTTGCCAGTCAGCCTGGATGCTCCTAGGACTTCTCTTCCCTCCTTACACAGAACCCACCCCTTTTTCTGGTCACATTGCTTCTCCAGACATCTCCTACTCAGCTTACCTGCTCTCTTAGCCCTTACCATACTGTGCAATTTCTAGCCAGGGATGTGGGGATTGGGGACAATGTGCTTTGCCATTGGGGTCTTCCTGCAAGGCACCCTCCTAATTTTGTGAGCATGTGACCTGGTGTGGTTTCAATCGTTGTGCCCGGGGAGACCTCGGTTTTTTTAGCCCTTGCTGAACAAGAGTAGGGAAGAGTGACATTTTGGGGATGATTTACTAACCTTATAAACACACCACGAACATGTATACACCTCTGTAGTGTGTTCCCTCCCAGCATGATCTATGGGTGGAATCTAAACACCTTTGTAGTGTGTACACACCCAGCAGGTGTGTTGTGCAAAGCCCTGCCCTGAATTGCAAGGTGATGTTGTGTAAATTAGCTCTACATTGTGTTGCTTGCGTTGATGAATGCAGGAATGTAAATGCATGAGCTAACCATTTTTGTCTAAACTGTGAAGCAGCATTATATATGCATCATGTGCATGATTTTTCCATATATGGCATTAGTGGAAATATGCTTATAGAGACTTTTTGGTTGATAAATACGCTTTGCTGTGTAAAAATCACACGCACCTGGTGCGTGCGTGTGTTTAGGTTAGTAAATCACCCCCTTTGAGTTACCGATGCTTCTTTCCCCTTGGGAAAATGAAAACTCTTTCTCTTATCTGGCACTTTTGCTTTAAAGTAACGTAAAGTAAGGGAGACCACAGTGATCACTTAACCAGTGTGCTAGGGCTCTCTCATTGTCCAATCAGCAGATTGGAGGGAGACATCAAGTGAAAGGTAACAGAGCTGACATATTTTCTTTTATAATCATTCCTTAGATGGTTGAGCACAAGTGATTGTGAAGAAAAGGGTGTTAAAATATGCACATACAGGATGCTTGCATCTATAAGCAAAAGGTATGAGGCATACATGAGAAATAGACACTTTGGTGATATGTGGAGCAAATAAGAACTTTTCTAAGGCATTATTTTCTGCTTGAAAGGCAAGCGTTGTAAACTTTTATCCTTCAGTAGTAATTTATTAATATTTATTAGAGACAGAGTCAGAAACAGGGTATCAAGGTACCAGAGAGTGAAGCAGGATATATTGTTAGTGTACCTGCCAAAATCAGTACAGGAACAGATAAATAGGCAAGCAGAAATTACATATGGGCCACTGGACAAGCCAGGTTAGTAACATGAAACAGAATCAGATTGCAGAATTGGTGGAAACAGTTGTAGAACCAGTGGTGTAACAATCTCCATAGTGACCCAGGCAGCCGCTATGGGGCCCGGGACACAGGGGGGCCCGGCCAGGATATCCCCCTGATGCCGTGCGGGACTGCCTGGGATGCTATGGCATGGGAACGCGCCGCTATTCACATGTGCAGCGGCACGTTCCTCCTCACAGCCGCTGCTGGGGAGGTGGGGCCAGGCGATCGAGGAGGCGGGGCCCAGTGATGGAGGATGTGGGGCCTGCCAGCGATCGTGGAGGAGAAGGATGCGGACAGAGGATCGGGGCAGACAGGTAAGAGGGCTTGACCGCCCACCTGAGACCCTGCAGAGTCCACCATAGAGAGTCTATGGTGGGCTCTGCAGGGTAACCCTCAGGTGGGCTGTATGGGTTGCTATAGGGCCCTGTGATTTCTGGTTACACCCCTGTGTACAACTAATGACTTCTCAGCACTGAGACCTATCACGGCTCAATTTTAAATAGCCACTGTGAGAAATTAATGTGCACGCGTGTCCTCACACCTGTGCAGGTGCTCATGCTGGAATGTGACTATGCAGGCTGTCACAATCTTCCTCACATATCCTATCTATAGCATTCTCTGCCTGGTTGATGTAATTGTTGGAGGAAGGACATCAGGGGGTGTAAAATTAATGTAGGTTCAAAGGGATTAGAAAGGGGGGCTGGTTTATTACAATTTATAATCTTTACAATATTTAGTATATGTGACTTATGATGTGCATGTGCATACTGTGCATACAGTGCATACAGTGCATACAGTGCATACAGTGAATTTATTTAGTATATTACTTTCTATAGTACTTTGCTATAGAGTGCACTCTCCAGTGTATGAGTGCCAGCATGTGGTGGTGTCCCTTAACCAGTTGATCCCCGTGCAAGGGTGTCCCCTTGGGGAAGGACAAACTTTGTTTCCATGAGAGGAAGCCGGATTTTCCATATACTGTGCAGCCTGTCAGACAGGGAGGGTAAGACTGTTGTGGTTTCACTTACCTGCTGTGCTGTATGATGTCCTTTTCACCTCGGCCGGCTCCCCGCGGTCTTGTCTGTTTGTGATGTGTGGGCGAGACAGGATGGGCAGTAGCGGCTTCAGCTGGCATCTGCGCATGCGCGGAAGTTCCGTCGTGCGTGACGTCACCAGAGATTAGGATCCAAATTTGAATTTGCAAGCCATTTCCAGGTAATTGAAGCTAGAATTTTTTCTGTTGGTTTATCCCCCTTTGGATTCCCCCTGGAGATCCCTTAAAGAACGGGATATCATGGATGATTGCCCCTCACCACACCGGTCTGTGGAGACGAGGTAAGGGCAGTGAAAAAAAAAAAGAGGGCATTTTATTTTTCTGACAGTCATATACTTTTATGTTGAGCCCTTATCCAACGGGCAGTAGCCAAACGGGTGAGGCAAGCTGGCCATTCCCATAAGAGAATAAGAGCAAGCAGTTCCCGATTTGCATTGTCAGATGCATGAAAGGGCGAGAGGACGTTCTGTCACCCTCAAGCAGACACTTTGCGGGGCAGAGACGGAATTAATCTTCCTTTCCTGTGAGTATGATCACAAAGAAACTCATGAAAGAGGGCTTGTTCACACGATGTCCGGATTCTGTCCGGATTCTGTCCAGACCAGAGCAGTTCGCTCCTGCACTAAAAAACGCATCACAATGTATCCCTATGTGTTTTATGGGCCCCAGATCACACGAGCGCAGTGCTTTCCATTCCGGACAAAGAAAGATACTGCATGTCACATTTTCTCTGGTCTGGGAAGCGCACAAACGCCTCAAGATGCAACAAAAATTTGCCAGAAACGCACCGCACTGCAGCTAACTGGAAAAAAAATGGAATGCGTCTGGAATGCGGTAAACACGCATCAAATACACGTCAAAAAACGTGCTGCACACATTGCTCAGCATCTGCAGATCTGCTCCAGATCTGGACCAGAAAATGTTGTGAACAGGCCCTAAGGGCAAGTTCACACCATATGCAGTTGTGATGCAGTCCATTTATTTTGACTGCTGCAGTCAAAATACATCACAATGCTTTCCTATGGGCTTTCTTGTGCCTAATTCACACCATTGCAGTCAGTTCAACTGCAGTCAGGAAAAGTACTGCTTGTCCTACTTTACCTGCATCTAACTGCACTAAACGCATCAAAAC